TCAAGGAGGACAACAAGACATGATATATTTCCCACTTGACAACTTTGCGAACATGCCGACAACACCCTCGAGTACTCTCAATGAGATGTACTGCGGACCCTAAGAGGTACTAATACTTCCTCAGTAACTTCACTCGGTTTTTAGCTTACACATCATGGGCTAAGTACGAGCGTAGCTGTTACCATCTCAGGGGTTGGCATTTTGGTTTAGAACAGAGTCTGGTCTGATAAAAGTCGAGTCAGAATTCGTTTATGTTGGATTGTTGGCTGGGTTTGATTTGATGTATTTTACTCAGGTTTAGAACAGAGTCTGGTCTGTTAAGTTTAGCCTACTCAGGTTTTATGGCCACTCCTAGTTACATTGTGTTCGAGTATGACAGTGTTATCACTGTTGGTCAATCGAAGTTGTTTCAAGTTGAGCAGTAAATGGTGCTCCTCACGAGTCAGGTCGAGATCAAGCTTTGAGCATTATGTGCTTAGTGTTTAGTCGAATCGCATGTAAAGGCTTTATTTCTTGTTTGGTGTTTTCTGATGATTCAGGATAAGCCAGCTATGGCGATTATAGACTCAGCTCATCTGTTCATACACTAACTGGAAATTGAGGTTAGAGATTCAGATTACATTGCTTGCTTTGTACAGTGATGAAAATGCTGGTCTGTTGCAGTAGTTTGTATTCTGGAACAAACGTTACAGTTCTATATGATCTCTTCGCCATAGATTCCCTCAAACATCATAGTTCATATCTTCTTTACACGTAAATAAACCATTATAAACTAGTCAAAACCCAACTTACAAACACTCGATACAAAAGTGACAATTGTCACTCTATGTAAACCCCCGGGAAAGAAATATGTTTTGAACAATGACAAGTGAAAAAATCAGAAGAAAGCCACTGAACGAGAAAAGGACACAGTTGGGTTTTTTTTCTTCTTCAGACCATTTTGTGGATGCACACTCAGCAACGGAAAAATCTGGTGATCGCGTTTCAAAAGAATTAAAGAATGAGAGATCTTACTTTTTCTTGGGTCAGAACAAAATCTCCTTGAGGATTAAAAGTACTATCATGATGAAGCAGAGGATGACAAGAACAGATGCACACATCACCATACCTCCAGTTCTCTGCGTACGCTCTGCCTGTGGAAATTAACAAGCGATTCCGATTAAAACTTTTGATCACGAAGTGTTGAGAGAGAGAGGGTATTATAGACTCTGGTCATAAAACAATTTACCTTTTGCAGCTGTTTGAGACCATCTTCAACTGTACTAGCAACGTTCTCGATATTATAGTCAATCCGATCAACTATTGTTCCCTATCACAACAAATTTAGCTTTTCAAGTTATATTTCCAGAATCAGTGACTCAGAAGCTAGAACAACAATTATAATGCTATACCTGGTCTATCACAAGAGCAGAAAGATCCTTCATTATCTGAGCAAGCTCGTTTACGGATTCAACAACCTGTAGATGACACATAAAAAGGAGAAAGTTGCAAGATTACGAATGTATACGAAAAGAAGTAACAATGAAGAGTATAAAGAGTTGCAAACACTACTAACCTGTTGAATCTCTTTCTCCCTCTCAACTGATATTTCCTCGCTCTTTTTTATCTTGCTCATCTGATGCTCACTAAATAACTGAGATAAAATACATGCATTGCTTTATTACAGATCATATACATAAGAGGAAAAATGGTTATAGATGGCTATAAAGGAGTCATACCATATCATCAAAGTCATCATATTCTGCTCTAGAGCTGCCTCCGTTCAGATTCATCTCTAAATCACCGCCGTCCTAATGATATATCACAAAGTCAAAACTTCTTGGAAATAAAGAAAATATTGTTTTCCACAATACTGTACAAACAAACAAGAGAAACTCTGAAATTCATATACACAAAAGTGCAGAAGCATAACAGAACACGAGACTAGAAAACTGAGCAACTACAGCATCACAAATACTGAAGCCCCAAGAATAGGAAATGTACAGAGCTTCATATGATACCTCATTTTGTAGTCTCAAACGTTTCAAATATGTAGACTGTTTCTTGCGGAGTTCCATAGAAAGGTATTGGAGATCAGTAGCAAGAGATCGCTGTTACAAAACATATAAAGATTAAAGCGTTAGATAAGTAGTGATAAAATAGAAAGGACGCGTGTTGCAGAGACACCCCTCAAGTCGAATACCGACCTGCACATTTTTCCTGACATTTGAATCTTCAGAAGGTCCAGTTGCATTAAGCCTCTGAAGTTGCTTTTCTGATTTCCTCAATAAGAAAGTAATCTCTTGTGTCAAAGACTCAATTTGATGTTGATCTTCTTTACCATCCCCAAACGAGGGCATCAATGCTTTCGCATGAGCCTTTCCCAATTCAGCCATTTTGGTTCTTCCACGCTGAATATACACCGAAATCTCCTCAGAGACATCAACCCAATCTGGTGGTAATCCCACTGTTATTGTTCCTCTAACATTGAAAACAAGAAGCAAAACTTTCAGCCTTGCCAAATAGGCCACAAAATTGTAGATAAAGTGCTCATGATGATACCAATTTTGCTGCTAAATCAACAACTTACTTCCCAATTCATGAGCTAACTCACTCTAGCAGTTACATGAAGTGATAAATTTCTTATGCAATCACTAAGCTACTAACATTTCAATGGCAAAGAGAAAGAGGAAGAGAAGTACCTCGAGTTCCCAGGATCCTCGGTACTGACTGGAGTATAAGTCCGATTCGGATTCAATAGAGATGTACTCGCCATCTCAATCACCGGACCTATACCGGATTTCGCTCCCGTCAACGAATTCATCTCCGTCACTGTCGACGATGAAGACGAACTCAATGGAGCACGGACGCTCCTCAGAGAGTTTCTGTACTTCCTGAACAGCAACGTACGATTCCTCGTCGCCATATCAGCCCAATATTAAACCCTAGAAGAATCTCAGAAACCAAGATCTCGACGTCTAGATAGAGATTCTCGCTTCCCTCTACGATCGGAAACTATAGATCTGATCGGAACAAACGCGAAACAACGCGAATTCACCCGCCAAATAAACGAAGGCAGAGGTTTCTCAAGCTGTTCGAGTGATCGGAGGATCGGCGAATCGCCGGCGGGACTAAAATTCTCCGACGGAAATGTTATTAGCTCTCAGATTTACAAATTAGAGATTTTCACTATTTTTTCCGGAAATTAAAAACTTTTTTAAAAAAATAATTAAAAGCAAATCGTAAAACTAAAAATCAATAAGCAGTTGACATAAAAGAAAAGCTGAGTCAGTAGTCACAAGTCCGAAACAACAACACAAGACGCAGCTAATAATCTCCTGCGTTTGCGTGCATCTTTGACTGTTACATTTCCAATGAAAATTCGCCACGTGTATAAAGTACAACAGCATGACGTTTTAGTTGGAAAAAGCTTGCCAACGTCATGTTCGTGAATGTAATTACACGTCGGGTAAAAAGTAATAAACGGCATGCATTTTCCTAGAGTGGCCCCAACATTTTTTCTATTTTTCCGCGAAGGTGATTCATCATTGAAGAAAACGAGCG